AGGGCATCGCTACTAGGAGCAAGAAGCTACTAGTAGCTCCTGGCATTGGGGGCATCGCTAACATGAGCAAGGAGCTACTATTAGAAACCAACACCCCTTGGAAGTGGTCAGTAATTTTTTCCCAGATACGGCACACATCGGCACACTTCGGCACACTAACGCCATGGCACCGCGCAGTTGCCAGGAGAAGCGCCACAGTGAGGAACTGAGGCGCAGCCACGTGGAGAAGGCCAGCACCGCTGCCCAGGAGCCGAAGGGGCCACACTTGTGGGACAACGACCACCAGAGAACCCAGCCGTGGATTGGGATCCTTCAAGCGAGGGGGGGTCAGTAACATCGACATCTCCACTTGTCGTGGGCTGGGGGATGTTGTGCCTGACGTCACATTCTGAGGTTGCCCACCCGAACCATGTTTTGACTTTTGATTTGGTGTGGCATGGCACGCTCGCTGAGTTTCAACTGAGAAAATTAGATTCACCTACTGAATCCTGAATGGATTATAACCCCCACGAGACCGACCCAGGGCCCAAGTCAGGGAGCTACAGACCAACTGCCTTCGCTGCCTTCGCTCGGCCCCAGTTGGATCCCAGCTTGGACTGAAGGACCCCAAAAAAACACTTGGCCCTTCAGTCCGACGCCAACTGAAGCTCCACCAAGCGCAGCGACCCCGTGCTGCTTCTTGTGCCGCAGCGCGAGGACAAGAAGCTCTCGGACCTGGCCATGAAGGTTGGCGAGACGACGTGGACTCCAATGCAAGTGGAAAACCAGGGGGAAACCAGCTGTTTGTAGAGGATGGTATCAAAGGGTCCATGTCCTTTTTGGCGGTGTGAGTCGAACATGTGCCACATGGGGTTTGGTTCCACTTCTTTTCGCGGTCCCCCTTCTTGCTACGGCTTCTTCCCAAACCAGTCTGACTGGACCCCGTCTCGGTGTCCAGGTGCATGACGTCTACAAGCGCTGCGACTTGGCGCGGGATCAGCAGCAGCTGGACACCTTGCAGATGCTGGGCGCCATCGAGACTCGGATCGAGGAGCTGATCCAAGGCTTGGACGAGGCCTACCAGCAGGCCCCCGCCGGCGCCCGGCACGAGACGTTGGTCCGGGGGGTGAGGGCCATGGGCTCCAGCGTTTGGCTTCCACTCCGTGCCGCGAAGGATGAGGAACTCGTCATGCGCTTGGAATGGCAGAAGGAAAGGGACCGCAGAGAACGCGCCAGGGCTCTCAGGGTCGATGCGCGCGGTGTCTCGTGAATCACATCGACTCGGAGTGCTTCGAAGATTGGGCCGGTCCGACAAGCCCCCCGTGGCAGGGCCGACTCGGGATGCTTCCGAAAGGTGGTTCGCAGGGATTTTGGGGAGGGGTCTGATTTGGACATATTCCACCAAGCATAAGTCTACTTGCCCTATGGAGCAGGCCACTAACTGGTTTGGCATGTGTGTGTGTGGCTCAGCGAGCGAGGTTCTGAAGGACACAAGAGGCACCTGGATTGACTCGAGAGGTTTGTTTGTCGTTCTTCTTTTTGGGGGGATGGGGAACTGAGTACGACGAACCGTTTGTTCTTGCAAAGGGATGGGTCATTTCGCTCGCTCGAGCGGCTTTCCCTCTCTCGACTTTCGACGTGCCGAATTCCTCGAACGACGGCAACGGCCAAGCGCTGTGCCGCACGAGGTCCGTGAGAACCGCATTCGAGAGCAGTCGGAGAAGCAAGAGGATCTGCACCGAAGAGATAGACGAGAGTGAGTCGACCCGATCAACGATCCGAGCAGAAGTGGTGACCCAGGTGATCACGGCGGTTTCGGGTGAATTCCACGCCGAGGTTCGGTGAAAATGGAAGGGGCGTGTTTGGATGTTCGCTTGGTGATCACCGACCTCTGAAAACCAAGTTCCAATAAAGGCTCCTAGGCTCCTAGATTGCGGAACTATGTGTTTTTGCATATGTGACCTGAAGGGTAGCGGCAGGGGTTGCTTCATGACACAAGCAACCACAATCTCGTACCCTGCAACGTCCTCATGGTGACGTCTGACCCGTGCTGACCCGTGGGAAGGCCATTCTCCTTGGCAAACAAGGGGGTTGTCCACTTCTATGTGAGTAGACCGGGGGGGTGGATGGCTTGAGCCCCGGCCCCGGCCCCACGTCACTTCTTTTTACTCCGGCGATGACTCGCACCACCCGACTCGCGAGGACCGTCTGAAGCAGTCCTTGCTGCGATCGCAAAAGCCGGTCTTCAAGAAGGCACAGCACAAAGGGTCCAGTTGCACTGCATGGGCAGGCACAGGTGTGGAAGATGTCTGGGATTCTTTTTGGGTTTCTAGTATGCAGAAGGCGACAGTATGCGAGGACGACGGTCATCATTCGGTGGAACGGGTGATTTGGTCAAGGTCGAGAACTGACACGGTCGCGAAGCGAGGCTTTTTCCGCGGCGAAGTGATGCGAAAACTGGAGTCTGCACTTGCGGAAACAGCCACTGCCTATGGGTTCGTTTGTAGCATTGAAGAAGGGCTCCAACACTTTGCTCTTCCTTTCGCCTTTGTTGTTGTGAAGTGAGGGCTCCAAGCCGATCTTTGTAATTCATCGTTGTCCACGAATGAAAGTGTACCACCAATAGGTATCAGTACCAAATCGACCTCTCAAGGATTACCACACGGACATCATTGGTCGTGCCAGTTGGCCAGTTGTCCATGGCGAAGCACCCTGACCGCGGCGGAGATCCATGTCTACGAGACCCAACACTGTAGATGGTCTCCTGCCCGGTATCCAACACTCATGAAAGTGGATGGCGCGTTGGAAGGCTACCTTCAGAATTTAACGGGTTGGCTTCCATGTTCATGTTAGTTGAGGGGAGGGGTTGTGCGAAACACTGTCAGCCTGTGATAGACATTTAATTGAAGGCCATCGACCGCCGTGGTGACACCAGGCGGGCAAGCAAGTGATGTACCGCTCCCCACCGTTGCGACAAGAGCGGAAGATCGTGGAGGACACCACAGACGACGAAGCGCACGCGCGCGACCACAAGGTGGGGCGGTTTTGGGCGTTGCTGGCGGGTGGGGGAGTGGGCAGGAAGTAGGGGGTAGTGATATTATATAAATGGCTTTGAATCACTGTGGAGGATTTCCAGACAGTGCCAAGACCCAAGTTGGTGGCGCATCACTCATGATTTCTCGCAAGACAAACATGGAAATAAGCACGGGGTAGGATTCCCAACAGGGTAGAGCCTTCAGGGCCTTTGATGACGTCCTTCGTGACCTGAAAAATGCCCGCCGCTCATGCAGCCGGGCGGCAGCGACGGAATGCGCCAGGTTTTTGACCTCTACATCGACCGCAAGACCGGAATGCCCCACACGGATGCACCCACCGAAGAAGCCAGGCGAACAGTGAAGAACGTGGACTGCGCAAGTTGGGCCAACCGGTTGGCAGTGATGGGATTGCGCTTGGGGGGCTCTGAGCTCTCCAGGAGCTCTCCCGGAGCTACCGTCAGAGTAGATGGCACAAACTTCAAGATGACTCTAGATGGGGTCAAACAACTTTTTGGGGATTGTGCCATCTACTCTCAATCCGCTATCATGCAATGTCTGGTTTTGGTTCGCTTTATGAGTTTATTTTCGTTTGATTTTCAGGCTCCCCTAAGATCCCTTTGCAAGGTTGCAAGCCAATCTGCTCCCAACCACCCCTTCCTGCCCAGTAGGAGGGGTTCGTAGGGATGAAGAATAACCCAGGCAGAAGTGTACCACTGCGGGGACGGGATGATATCTTTATATAATGCTTACTTACAATTTCAATTCACATATCATAAACCTGGGATCTGGAAAGGTCCAGACATCGGACAACATGTCCCGGACTAGAAAAGAAGGGTATATAAATATCAAAATATCTCTTTACATACAGAGATGCACACACACACATATATATATATATATAGTATAAAATATAATATATAACATATAACAAATATACTATTATTATTATTACTATTGTTATTATCACTATACATATATATATATATACACATATACATTCTTGTCTACACCAAGCTGGTAGCCCCGAGAGCCGCTCTCAGGCGTTCCACCGACACCGCGCTCAGTGCGCCGCCCCCTTCCAGGCGCCGGCTCCGGTCGCCCGTGTCGTGTGGGTGCCATAGCTCAGAAAAACATGGGATAACATACCTGGACCCTTCAAGGGGTGTCCAATGGAGGTCTGGTGTAGGGGCTTCCAGCCAGGTGACCCCTTTGAAGGTGCTGGTATGTTCAGCTGTGCAGAAATAGACCTTTGCCTTGCCTTTTTGGACCATGAACATCCATATGTGAAATTGTGGGTTCGCTCACGAACTCCAACCTTGAAAAAAGAGTGAAGATCTAGCATGTTTTGCACCACCAAGTTGCCAACACAGCCTGTATTCAGATTGTTTTAGGGGTAGAGCCGTGGAAAAGTACAATTCTGCTCCCCAACCCCCCCTAGCTCAAGCAAATGGTGCTTGGAGATGTAGGGTTTCATCTGCGGAACGGACGGACCAACGCACCCGACCGTGCCCAGTCCTAAGTCGCAGTCCATGAGCGAAGCCCTCGAGAGCCGAGAGGTGTTCATGTTGGGGCAGCCCAGCCGAAAGGGCAACCGCCGATCGGTTGGGGCGTTCTGGAGGTGGGGCGGGTTGGTGCACTGGTGGGGATCGGTTTCCCAAACGGTTTGGGGGTGGGTTCGCTCGTTCTTTCTTTCGGTGGGAGTCATTGTACTGCAACCCTTTCGGGCGATCCCGGATCGTCGCCGCCCGTCCCAGGTGATGCGGTGGTGACCGCGGCGTTGATGGCTGGCGGGTCAGACCATTCGCGGTTCCCTCTAAAGAAATCGTGTCACATCGTCTTCGAGGAACAGCAGGGGGTCGTTTGTAAGCTGCAAGCATCCTGAATTGCTGGATGAAATGGTGGTGAATGGTGGCAACGAATCTAATTGGGGGACACGGTTATATATCATATTTATATATATCTTTATAGACACATGTGAGTGTCTGTGTGGTCCTGAGACCGGATTCGCGTGAATTTTGGAGCCCTCACTCACATTTACATGAAGCATTTATTGTCCAGCGTCGAGTTGCCACAGAAACAAACATGATGCGAACTACCTGGACCCCTTCACATCCAGTGGTGCACTGTTTGGACATGCTAGCCTGAAGCCTCGCAGTTTCGCGGGTTGTTGCACTGCGGTTTGGGAGAATGGTTCGCCCATCTGGGTGGAGCTGGGTGGCTGTTGAGATCATTTCGTGCGGAAAGAAAGTGTTGACCCACCACAGTAGTTGGGCACAAGCTCCAGAGCTCTTCGTGCTGCCCAAGTTTTCACCGACCCGAAGCTGTTTCACCTGAGCATGAGGGCTGTGCAGTGAAAGGTCGGCCGCAACAACCACTGCCGAGGCTTTCATGCGGCATGAAAGCCGGCGCATCGGGGTGCAAACTGGATCCTTTGATCCTTTGAGGATTTGATGGGAATGGACTGCAACTGCGATTCCATTACTTTTTCCATTAAAACGCCCTTATTTTCCGATGGAGAGGGACATCCCACATAGATCAGACCACATGACAGGCATGCTATATTTGTTGCCGGTCGCTTTTTCTCTTCTCTTGCTTTGGTCTTCTCACTTGGGGATCTACCCGGTCTACCCTCGGGGTCGCTCACTGGCTGTGCGACCGGTGCCCCACACCAGACAGCGACCGCTGCCACGAGCATTCTTCGGGGGCCTCAAAGTGCTACAACCAATTCCTGCCACAAGTTGGCTACAAACATGGATGGCCTATGACTTTCAGATACTTTCAGTGTATGGAAGATTTAAAACCATTCTTCTACCAGGGTTCGATTCCAGTTGTCTAATTAAAATACCTGTTGGAGGGTGGTTGCTTGTTAGTTAGCGATTTTCAGTCGACGCGCTGAACATCTGAGCCCTCTGCCGACATCGTTGAGACATCGTTCACGGCCGCTTCACTGGTCCAGCTGACAGTCACATTCAGCAGAGATGCAGAGAATGGATTTGTAGTGTCTACATAAGACGTAGACGTCTATCACACAGCCCAGGGTCAGATGTTCTTAAGCTAACTTATATAAATGTCAGATGTTCTGAAGCCTTTGCAATGGGCAAAGGATTGCACCAGAAGTATTTCGCTTTTGAGCGTGAATGTTCATTTCTCTCGTTACTGTGCTGCAGAACATTCAAGTGCGAATGTGTGAGCCAACTGCTTTCAATCATCAATGGGTCCTTGGAAGATGAGCCTTCCGTGGCTGCTCCTCCTGTTTGCCAGCACACTGGTCCACGCGTGGCTGGTCCTGTTTGTGTTGATGTGGTGGTTTGACGAATGGTGAGGTCGTTGTGAGTCTCGAAAAACAGCCATTCCAACTGGCAAACCTCCACGCGGCCAGAATTTTCCACATCCTGGCCAGTTTGCTTCTTTGACGACATGTTTCGCTTTTTTTCGCGTCTGCCCTCTCCTGGGCAGCAGTCAGTTCTTCGAACTAAAGAAGAACAGCCGGGGAGTTACCTTCCCCCCTACAAACATGGAAGCCTCGTGTTCCCAAGCAAGCCATGCCATGTGTGTAGCCATGAGGACGGAGGGAGGGAACCACCAGGTACCACCTCCCTCGCCCACCTTCAGACCCCCCTCGCCGCCCTCCCCCACCTACACGTGGGCTGGCCCATGGAAGCTCAGGCAGAGTCCTGGCCGCGCAGGCGGTGCGGACCTTTCTGCCGGGCGATGTGAAGCGGGTTGGTGGTGAGTTGGGTGCATGAGTTTGGTGGTGTCGCACTGGTTTTTTCTGGTGATCCTCGTTCACATCAAGAGACACCGTTACAAAGCTGCAGCTCCCTGTTGAGGCTTGTACTGGGCTTCCCAGTACTAAGTTCAGCTTGAGATTCCGCTGGATGAAAAAGAGAAGCCCCCTGGCTCCTGAGAGGGGCCGTAGTTGTATCTGAGACTTGATGCACCCTGCTGTAGCGGTTGCAGAGGGGAACATCAACCACACCAAGCTTTGCACGAAAGGGAGCAGTCCCGGGCACGGGTTTTGGCGATCTTTGAGCCTGTGAATTTTTGCGTCGAAAGTGTCCCCCAAAATCCATTGACTTCAGTACTGCCCCGCAGCGGCCCCGTCACTTCCACCGGCCCTGGGGCGCCCCCAGCGCCCCCAGTCCTGGACATCATCTCTTCGTTCGCCTCCAGGCTTCGGGGAGCTGCCCCGTCAGCCGCTGGGCACTCAGAAAGTCACGGGGGGAGAAAGAACCGGTTTGGATGAGACGGGTGCCTTTGGGAGGATAGGGGGTGCCCAAAGAAGAAACTGGATGAGGCTCAAAGAATTCATCCGGCGGGCCTGGATCCGAAATATCCCAACTCAACACCCGAGAGGCAGCATTTGCAGAAGCTTGCCCCAACATCATGCAGGCACTTCAGGAAGGGTTTTGTGAGAGGATGGGCCGCTGCTCCCATGTTTGTCATGGCATTGGCTGTGTGGCACCAGGAATTCGTTCCCACCAGAGATGAAACCGTCCGCGGTCTTTTCAACAGTGTGGCTCCGGGGCGTGCCTTTCGCCCAGGGCCCGGCGAAACTTTGACGGTCGGGCTCTCAGCAGTGCGGAGGACCTGAGTGCCACGTGCTACAGCTGCTACGGGCAATGATTGGGCTTCCAGCAACATGCAAAGCTTAGGGTTCCCCCCCGGCCCTGAACCACGTGTTCATCATCAAAAAGCACAATCCTTTGGGCTGGTGCTGGTGGTTTTCTTCCCGGTCGTGCAGAAGAGTGTGGAAAACCTCGTCCATTGTGCAGAAGAGGTTTGAAAGAGAGGTGTTGAGGTTTGAAAGAGGTGTTTACTATATTCTGGGGAGACGATTCTGCCTATTGTGGTGGTTGAGGTGGGGGTGTGCAACCAGGCCTGAAAACCTCAAAAAGTCCGATTCGCAGAGTTCGTAGATCTCGGAGGAACTGCGGCGCTTGAGGTCCTGGTACTCCGTGGAATGCGCCCCTGCCGGCCGCGGCGCCTCTTCCAACCTATCCCACTGGAATTTGGCCGCCAGCATACGTCCAATCTGAGGAATTGCGTCCCCATCCCTGGGCTCAACAGCAGCAGGCTCGGCACCAGCAGATGCAGGCCAGTGCGCAGCCACATCATGTCCACCAGCGCAGCCTATCACCCACACCGACCTCGGCGCCCCTGACCCCGGCACACCTGGGCTGGCCAGGGCTGTCGGGCCCTGGGAGCGCACAGATCCCAGTGACCCGTCCTGGTGATCAGTCCATCGGTGGCGGTCCGGGTGGTCCGGGCGGTTTGGGCGGTTTTGGTGGCTTTGCGCAGCACCATGTGCCGGTGAGGGAGCCGCATGGTGGGATGTTGCAGAAAGAAGCTGGCGCCTCAAGCAAGCAAGGACGGGCCTAGCTGCTCCCTGGCTTTTGGGTTCTTTTTGTCATGAACCATTTCAGGAGGCAGGAGGTGGTAAAGAGAATACTATATGCATTCTTTGTTTCCTGGACTTCATGTACCCACTCACTTATTAAAAAAAAGGAACAACCATCCAACGCCCTGCCTGGTTGCTCCCTCATACTTGAGGTGTGTCCTCACGGGCCCGGTTGGGGTCGGATGGTGACTCCCAGGAGATCGCGGAGGAGTGGAAGGAGCCGGAGCCAGTCCCCAGGCTGGGTCATGTGGGAGGATGGAGGCCATCGTTTTTGGGGGGCGACCGGTGGACGGGTCGATCTACTGAACGCCTGGGATGGTCTTCCCAGGCCCAGCGTTCGATAGATAGATAGATAGATAGATAGATAGACAATGTATTGGACACCGTGCCAATTTGGGGACCACTCTACAACCAAATCAACGGGGAATCATTTGTTGGGTCCCATCGCGACCTGGTCGAACAGGTGAAGCCCGGTTTTGAGCAACCCGACCGGTCGCGGCGAACGAAGGGATCCAGAGTCACAGGTGAAGCTCCATCGGCACTTCAAGTGGGTGTGCATTTTGACAGGGAGACCCAAAAAAACCAGTGTGCCTTTCGCGTTTTCATGGAACGGCCCTTTGTGGGGCCCTTGGTGGAAGCACCCCGCCGTGCAGGTCTACAACACGTGGGTGACTTGTTGGCAAGATCAGTGACGTCAGGAGTGAGGGGAACTTCCCTATTCTTTTTGTGGACGCATCGGTGGCGAATTCCCTTTAGCAGTTAGGAGTCGAGTCGTGGCGTATTGGACAGCACCCTCACCAGGCCACAGCGTGAATGTACGGTGCTGGTGTGGAAGTGGTGGTGTATAGACAGGATCTAGCATTCGTCCTCTACCCGATTAGAAAAAGGTGGTGAAGCACGAACCGATCCGAGTTCAGTTCATCGAGCGATTCAGACTGCCTCAAAGGCAGTTCGAACCTTTTGATACCTTTCGGTTTGACAGTCGGGCGCTAGACAAGACATGTGTGGATCTTCCATAGCACCATTGCCCAGGTTTATAAGTACTTGGCACCTGCCAGACGTGTCATCCTGGCCCTGCTACGCGGTCTGCCGCCCTGCGTGGTTGCCTCAGAACTGAGGCCCTGGCCGTGGGGGCTGTTCTCTTCTTGCTCGTCCTGCAGCGGCGGAGCGACCAGAAGGTACTAGGCCGGCCGAAGGACTGGACTGGACGCCAGTCGATGAATCTCTCTCGACCTGGGGGAAGCGACGGGGAGGCGCCCGCAGGCGGTTTTTTGTCCGTTTGATTTTTTCTCCTCCAGCGGACCAGAATGAATGGACCCACTTTGGTCTGAGGGCTGAGAAATGGTGCTAATCATTGCAGTTTGTGGTCACATGTGGGCCGTTCCTATGCATCATGAGACCACTGCTGACTGATGACATTTATGTTAGACACCACTTGAGATGCCCAACACATTAAAGCATGCTGGAATCCGCACGCTCGACTGTTCATGTAAACCCAAAATAAATCACCAACTGAAGGCCCCAACAGCTTCGGACCATGGACTGGCCAAGCCTTCACTGTTTTCATCGGTGGTACTGTGCCCAAGACGACTTATCCGCATTCCCCAGCGATCTGCCACACTCAGGTGGGGCCAAGATGATGTCCCAGGTGCGCTGCGAATCGATGCGACCGGATCGGCGCGAATCAATGCGGCGTGCTTGACGCTTCAGAAGAGCTCATTCAAAGAGAGGACCAGGATCTTCATAGTGAGCTTAGGTACGATCGCACAGACCCATTGACCGCTCATGTGATGAGTTTGATGGAGATTGATGTAAAGGATTTTTTGAGAGCTGCGACTCTGCCTGAAATTGATCAGGTTCTGTGTTGGCAGTCCTTCAAACAGCTGAAGTTTGCAAGTTGTGACCATTACATTTATAAAAAGCTTTCATTGGAAAGAGCCTGTTTTCTACATTAAAATAGAGTCAAAAAAGGTTCCAAAAAGTCAAGCCCAAAAGTCAAAGTCAAAAAGAGTTCAAATCAGAAAATTTCAGAAAGTCAAAAAACAGTCAATTTGCACAGATCCGACTTTTTTTAAAACTTTTTCATCGGTTTTTTTTTTGACTTTTTTCGAGTGGTTGACTTCTTTTCTTTTTTTTTAAAGTTAGTTTCTTCGAGTTGTTTTTTGAATTGGGTTTGTTTTTTTCAACTTTTTTTGACCATTTTTTTTGTTGACGTTTTCTTTTTTTAAACTTTTTATTCTTTTTTAATTTTTTGACTTTTTTCTTTGACTTTTTTTGTTTTTTTTTGTACTTTTCGAGCTGTGGTCTATTGTTGACTTTTTTGACATGTTTATCGACTTGTTTTTTTCTTTTTAATTTTGTACTTTTCTTCTTTTTTGTGACTTTTCAATTTGACATGTTTTTGACATTTTTATTCTGGCCTTACCATATGAAAGTTTTTTCTTTTTTTAATAACATTACGTTGCTGTACTGTATCTTATCAGCTTCTTGGTCTTCAGGCACTGGGAGATCATCCCCCAAATGATGACACAGCAGCTGAAGACCCACGGTTTTCAGGGCAATTTCCCAGCATTTCCCTCCAGTCAGTGGAGGGAAGAATGTCCAAACGTACCTACAGGGAGTGCCCCAGAAGATCTCCAACCGAACAGAATTATAGTGACGGACTGAAAGTTAGAATGCCGGTGCTCAAAAATGGGGTCATTCAATTTTTTGTGTGTGTGTTTTCCAGGAGATAGAATGACGGCTTATGTTGTGGCTCATTTGGTCACCAAAACGACATGAAAAACATGCGCATTCTATCCCCGTAAAGTGCATAAATAGTGCCGGACTGAAAGTTAGAACGCCTCGGCGATTTCCAAATCTTCCAGAAACTGGGAGGCATTCTAACCGCCCGCGGGTATTCCCCTGAAAATAGCAGTGTGCATACCCATTCTAACTGTGGGACTTTTGTACCCGCAAACAGGGGTCATTCTAACTCGATCGGTTTACATTTTGCATTCTAACTTCCAGAAGGGCGTCTGTGCAAGACACCTGCCCCAAGCTGTGCATCGAATGAGGTGATCAGGGCTTCGGACCGTCACTGCTCTCTTCGAGTCATGGAGCTCGACCCTTCCGGGGATTGACCCTTCCAAGCTCCACACTCAGAGGACGGGGTGCCGTCCTTCCCACAGGTTTCCAACAAAAAGGAAGGACAGCACCATGGGGTGGGTCGTGTTTCGTTCCAAGCATGCCGGTAGATATGGTGGGCCAGCTCCGGGCCAGGCTGCCAAGCTCAAAGCCTGGCTGGAGAGGCCCGGCGCGATGGCGCCGCCTGTTTCCTACAGTCCAGGTGACGGAATGAAGTGCATTGTCAACTAGATCTGTTTAGCAGTGCTAATATGCTTGAAGTTTGGTGCGCTTTCACTAGTGTGACTATATATCCAAGTTCCATGTTTGAGGTGGCCATTGGATCATTAGAGTGGACACGGGCCACAAAACCTGCGACTGATTGTGTCATCAGTCGTTAGAAGGAACTAGGAACAATTTTCATCGGCGGTCATGATGCGCCACATCTCCGATGGTTTACCACATCACTGTCGAGACGTGTGCACCACCTTTGCAGAAGCCACTGCAGCTACTGGCGCTGCATATTGCACTCCGCTTTCGCATCGGTCCGGGCCCGCGACGGCCCGTTCTCCCGTTCTCTCCGTTTGGGCAGGTCCAGCAGCACCTCGCGCAGCGCTGGTCGTGGTCCACCGCCACAACCCACTGGCGCGAGCCACGGGCACGCTCGTGTCCCGCATGGAGTGGAGGAGCCGACGAAGGAGGCCGTGCCCGTGAAGGTGGCAAAAGTCGAAGAGGCGGGGAGGGAAGGTGGGGGGAGGGTGAGACATGAGGAACTCTTCTTCGTGAACTTGGTCGGATGCAGTGGGAGGCAGTTGGGTCACTGATGGCTTAAACTCTCAGCGTGCCTTTTCTCGCAGTTTGACCTGATAGATGCGAAGGTGGACTTAAAGGAGCCGGAGGCTGAAGCGGAGCATGTCGAGGCCGCTAACCATGCTGAGCGGGCCGGGGCGCCCCACTGGCACCTGTGGCGCATGGGTGCAAACTCCAACAGGGCGCCTGACATGTACGTAAGCCTTTATCCCTCTGAAACATCCCACTGAAAAACCATGCAGGCAGGATGTGAAGATCACAAAAGCAAAAGGGGAAAGTGCACATGTGAACGGAACGTTGAACTGATTGTATTTGCTTGCTTCCTCCTTGTCAGTTTTGTCTTTGACTCATGGCATGTTTTTTTCTCAGAGCGCAGAGTAGACGCATTCCTTATGAAGCAGCATGGGGCGTTGTAACTGGTCGTCCTGCAGTGCGCTGACGTGGGTCAAGGGGAACGGGTCCGGTGCTGGCGAACGGACTAACAACATATGCGCAGGGTATTCCCTGCAAAAAGCAGGGTGATAGGAGTGTTGCTTGCAATATAGTGCCTTTATATGCCATTGTTATTTTGTAAGAGTTTTGCGCTTAGAAGCACGATCCCACACAAAGACAACAGTCACAATTTATGTCACTTCGTCTAAAAACCACCTCGCTCTGAGGAGTACGACTTCCGTCTCGAGGATGGTTCCGGCAAAACATGTTCGGCGTGACCCGAAGCGCAGGTGGAGCGCAGCGCGGAGGTGAAGGAGGCCATGGTGGAAATGGATGGCCGGTTGATGTCCATCGACCAGCCCGGAACACTCAGGGCATTGGCCGAGCTTGCGCGACCGATCTCCTTTTCGCCGTGTTCATTCTGAGGCTTTGTGAAGAGGTCGGAGCACGTCGGGCGCGGCGCCTAGACGGCGTCACCGGTGGGATCCCTCACACTCCTGGTGGACAGTCGAGTCATTTATATATGGAGATGTCAGAAAACCTATTATACACCTGCATTTAACCTGCAACAGTCGGTACACAATTATGACTAACGTTTGAACAAGGCCTTTACCAAGCATCATCCACCGTTACTGGGAATGGGATAGACCCAATATATGAAGAGGTCAAAGACCACCTCGCGGAGGGTGGTCCTTCTTGTCGCGCCGAGCCAGGGGGGAGGTGTCCTGTGCTCTGTCGGTTCCCATGTTCTGGCCTTCTTCTGGCCTTCCTGCCTGCTGAACTCCGCGGGTGTTTGGATGATCGGGTTTTGGGAAGAACCACCAGGTGAGCCAAGAACACGGTCGAGGGTCCAGTTTGCGCCAAGAACATGCACCCCTTTGGTATTCGAAGAATCACCAACAGAGGTTAAGTAGGGTACCTATGGGGTTCTTCAACCTCTGGCATGTCATGCGGTTGGCTTTCACTGTGGCCATGGATGTCCCGCACGCATGGCACGTAGCATGGTTAATGCAGGGACCACACGGGTGGACGTCAGTCCAGACGGAGAAGGCTTTCGCAGAATCCCACCACCCGATTGGGGCATGTCCTTGACCATGTGTTCCGGAATCTCGCTGTGTCGTATACCTTTTCTCGCTGAGTGTAACTGTTTCGTGATCCTCTCCACACTCGTAGTGCACCTTTTCGCTGATCTGGGTGACCATCCCGGTCGTGCTGTGCAGGTCGCTGCTGTCGTTGCGGCCTCGGCTTGGCGACCACCGCTCGGTCGGTCACAGTGGTGGACGACCACAAAGTGCCAGAGGTTGGTTTGGGTGACAAGTGATCCAATATGTACCATACCTTAGGACAGGTGGCAGTGACTTAGTGACTCAGTGGTACTGGGTGGTACGGTGGGTGGGCCCAAAACACGGTCCATGGTCCAACGACGTTTCATCGCTACTTGTTTTCATGACAGATTTCCTTCAAGCCCCATGCCAGGAGTCCAAAAAGACGCCGCGACGTTCGACAGGGCCCCACCCTTTTAGAGTTGGACCAACGGATAATGGGTCCTATTTGGTGAAATGGCAAAGGTTTCCGAATCTTCATCATGTCCATTATTATCATTCACTAGGTTTCACCAGAAAACCAACCCACCGAACCCAGCTTTGCACCACTGAACTCGCTCAGGCGAGCCCCGGTTCGGAGGCGAGCCCAGGCCCGACAGGCCCGGCAGGCCAGGGTGGCGCCAGCTGTCAAACAATGATCTGATCATTTTGGAGTGGAGCGAATGTGAGAAGTGGACCTTTCCCCCAAGCCAAGATGTTTCAAGCTGTGAGGGATGACAAAAAGAAAAGCGTCCCAAAATGACAATCTTTTTGGACAAATTCAACCTTAATAGCTTATTTTTGGCCAACATGTTCGTCCTATGCTTCGTGCAGAGGTCTTTCGATCGAGCTTTCCGCATGAGGCGATCCGATCGAGCTTCCGGCGCCGGCGCCGAGCCGCAGCCGTGTGTGGAGAGGGCGCCAGGTGCGGGATGAGGGGTTGCGGAAAAGCATGCGTATGAAAAGATGTATACAACACATGGCTAGTTGTGTGTGTGTGTGCGCTGGTGTGTGCCAACAATCACGTTAAGCACAACACTTGCATAAATATAACACTAATATATTGTATTTATTTTGTCTAACAATACTTGTAGTAGCAACAACAAGAATGTTAAACATGTACATAACATAGTGCACTATATTGTTATACATGCACTATACCATCATATAGTCTAACATCGTGTAATAGAATAGCATTGCACCGTAACATCAATGCAATAGAACTTACGCTGACACGCATCTATTATAAGGCACCTCAGCTGCTGCAATGAGAGCAGGGTCTTGTTCTTGTACCAGCTCGGTGCTGTTGGCAGCCAGCACCGTCCTGGCCAGTGGTCCCGGAGACGCGGGAGCAACATATGCCGCGAAACGAAAGGATCAATGAACGCAATGATGAGTGCTATGCACTAAGAGGCAGATGACTGGCGTAGTGGCTATTCCCAAGCATTTCAGGGTTCCTGATGGTTCCGTCCATGGTCCATGGCTATTCCCAAAGTTCCAAAGGGTTTTTGGTCGGATGATCGGCACCCGGCCCATGTTCCATGCTGCGTCACACACGCAACGCGAAGCCTTGCAAGTGGGGTGAGCCAAAGCTCCATTTGTGAACCATGGTTTTACACCTTGTGCAGTTTTTTTGGGCCAGACCTGACTCGAATTTGGACTGGTTTTCGAAACCCTAGGGGTGGTTTCGAGGTATTGCTTGCACCCCAAAAGTTTGCATTTGATGTCGGTTCTGGGTGCTCCTGGCCAAACATACTGCATTTTGCCCATTGATGTGCTTGATTACAGTGGGGTTTGGCCCCACCGACCGGTCACACGAGCACAACCCAACTTGCACAGTCAGATGCTCGGACTTCCACAGTGGCTTGGACAGTTTAGAGCGAATTGACCTGTGACTTCTCGGCGATGGATCTGCTCGGCGTGTGCCAGCCCAACATGATGTGAACCGTGGACACCTGTCCGAACCAAGCAGATTGGACCAAGCAGATGCTCCGGCGTCTCGGGCGCACGTCGGAGCACTCCCCGCACTCCCGGCCCACGCGCCAGGCCTCGAGCCCCGCTCCGATCAGCGCGGCGGAGGTGGCAGGACGGGGCAGACGGGGCGGAGCCGGGGCGGAGGCTGTGCAGCATCGGTGGAGCCTGGGTGGGGTGGCACTGGTCGCACTGGACTGGTCGGAGGGACGTCCCAGCGATCTGCGCGACGGTCGTGATGGAAAGGACTTCCAAGCAGTTTCGTTTTGGGATGCGTTCACTCTGCAGTGGGATGTAGACATCGGCGATGTGGTCGGACACCATGAGTCTTTGGCTGACCCCTTCAGGCCACAAAGCCTCACGACTATATGTATAGGAGTGTCAAGCAGGCTCTCCACGAGGAAACATTTTGAAGCTTGCCCCGCTTGGAAAAGAAGGCTTTTTCTGTGTGGTGGAATGCGCAGTCATGACCATTGAAGGAACTAAGGACAACTTGGTTCACCTATAATTGATTGATGGGCAACTTCGGCGGGAATGTGTTCTTCAGGGTGAATGGGTCAGCTTCAGCACTGCTAGGCTGCTAGAACCGAATTTCCCAGCTCTGAATGTTCACCACTGAGTTCAGTGTGCGGTGTCAACTTCGAGGCAGTATTTGTTGCTTCCAAGCAGCTGCTGGGGAACTTACGGAAGCACACACTGGTTGAAGCATGTTGACGCTGACAGTTTTGCCCAAGTGGAGGGCCATCTTCCTTTATGGTCTAGGTTCGTTGGACACGCGTTGACTGTCCTGAAGCTGCGAAACTGGAATGTGCTATCAACGAAGAGGCCTGTCGATCGATGAGATGGCAGGCTCTAACGTCTGCGGTGGGTGTGCCCATCGCATCTCCTGGTAAAACATCAGCGGGTTGAATCTATGTGGATTGGAAACTTTAAACTTGAAACAATATAGGCACGAAGATTTGGCAGAATGAGGACTAGGGCCTAAGGGCAGTTATGGAAGACAAGCCAGCCACAGAACCCAAGTATCTTGTGTACTAGATATTATATCCTTTTCCCCAGCGAAGCTTACGGGCCTTCAGCCATAGTCAAGACCTCGGAGCAGGTTCCAAAGCAAGTTCCGGAGCATGTTCCGCAGCAAGTTCCGGAGCAAGTTCCGGAGCAGGTTCCGGAGCAAGTTCCGGAGCA